GGAGACAGGCAGAGGCGGGAGTGATGCGGCTGTAGCCTTGGGAGCTTCATCAGGCACCAGAGGCTGGCAGAGGCAGGAAGGACCCTTTCCTGAACCCTCGAGAGGGAGCATAGCTCTGGGATCCTTGATTTGGGGCTTCTCTTGTTTTCTGTTGTTGTAAGCCCTGAGTTTATGGTAACTTTTTACAGCAACCCTATTGCATGAGATACAGCCATTAGCCCAATAATTCTGTTTCTCGGAATTTACTAGAGAAAAATTATATAGACCTTCAGAAAACACTAATCACAGATGACCAGAAATCTCTGTAAGCAACTTAAACATTGAGCAATAGGGGAGTGGCTGAATTACACTTCATACCAGAATATTATATTAAAATGTCAATTGAAATCAAATTGTCTAAGGGCTTCCCTGCTGATCCAATGGTTAAGAATCTACCCTGGTGGTTCAACGGTTAAGAATTCCCTTTGCAATTCATCCCTGTCAAGGAGACCTGAGTTCATCTCTGGTCTGGGAAGGTTCCACATGCCTGGGAGCTACAAAGCCGGTGCACCACAGCTACGGAAGCCTGCATCCCTTAGAGCCTGCACTCTGCAACAAGAGAGGCCACTGCCTGACAAGCCCACGTGCTGCCCCTGGAAAGTAGCCCCTGCGGTCTGCAAGTGGAGAACGCGCTAGCACAGCAACGAAGACTCAGTGCACCCAAAGGTAAAATAAACAGATACAAATTTAAGAAAAATCAAGCTGTCAAAGAATATTTTGGAAATTTGGACAAATTCTCAGAGAAGAATATAAAGTGAAAAAAAAAAGGCTAGGTCCCAATTTTGGTTTAAAAAATGAGATGGGGAAGAAGCAAGACACAAACTGTAATTATTTCTAAGTCATGGAGTTGTGACCTCCAAGTCATTAATTTGTACAAATCTGTAATTTCTAAATACTTAGCAGACTAGATGACCATTTAAAAAAAAAAAGGAAATGTGTAAAAGCAGCCCAAGCAACCTGCAATTCACCACCAGCTACGACAGAACAAAAAATATCACAGGAAAGATGAGTCTCCAAAAGTGGAATAAATATAACAAAAAGAGGATCTGGTAGCCAAGGAAATGTGTTACGAGTCTGACAACAGTGTGCTGACCTCAGGTTTTGCCTATTCTTGCTTACCAGGAGAACCCTGAATACTTTCCAAAGCACATCCTAAACCTAGAACAGAGAAAGCTGTGAAGGGTGCACCAGGAGCCCAGAGGCAGGGCCAGAGAATGGGCTGTGTGCACTGCTCACGCTTTGTAACCGGGGTTGTCCCTGGGGACCCTGCTGGACATCCAACAGTGCAGACCTTGGTTTCTCCCAATACCCCTACGTGGGTAAAAGCAGAAGAATGCTGGAGGATGGCACGAGATACTCCATCTCTCGTCTGCACCTGCCCCACCCACCCTGCCAGACTCCAGTGCTCTGCTGGGAAAGGCCAGGTCGGGCCCCACCTTGGGTCACAGGTAGCATGGATATGTCCCCTGGTCCACCACACCCCCACCTGCACAGCTCAGCAGGAGCCGTCCCGGGACTCCAGGCCTCGCAGAGTGAGGCACGGACAGAGCCCGCAGGCGCTGGAGAGGCTCCCTCAGCCTGCCACAGCGCGTCTTCACCCTCGTCTGGGCCAAGAGCAAGTCCAGGTCCTGCCAGCAGGCTCTGCCGTGCTGAAGTGAGCCACACTTGTTTCTGGCACTTGAGAAACTGACACTTGAATTCCATCAGATGATGCCGAGGTGGATGACTGATCAAAGGTGGACTAGGTCCAGAGTCCAGTAGGTCCCGTTCACTTTATAACAGTTCTGCAACCTTTCACTGCACAGATGCACCAAAATTCCTTTAAGACATTATTAAATTACAGTATTATGTGTCCCAGGCAGTTTAAAATTCAGACAAGCCGGGTGACAGATACTCCTGGTGATGCCCAGACAGCCATCCTCTCTGATTTTTGAGGATAATCAGCTGTTCCCCAGCTTTTCCCATGGTGCCCCCTTGTCTGCATGGCCTTGGGGACACCAGACATGGTCTGAGGAGTGGCTGAAGATGAACCTAAACCCAAACAAGGTCCATCCTTCTTGTTGGAACTCATCAGGGCTGATGGGATAGGAGGCAAAGATTCTGGAGAAGTTCCAGAAAAGAAACGAGGAACGTTTCACAGAAACAATCAGCTGACCGCAAAGCTTTTCCTCTTCTTTCCCACCTCCCTTGAGGTGCACGTGGCATGTGACAGAGGCCACGGGATCAGGACCACACTGCATGGTCCCCCAACATCTCCCCATCCTGGCTAGTGAGGATGACAGAGGCAGAGCCACCAGACCGAGCTTGGCTATGGAAGGACCATCTGGGGACCAAGAAAATCTGTCCAGGTTCAACACAACCCAGAAGCCAGCTCGTGCCACGAATGCTTCCGCGGGCCTCTGATAAAGCAGAGGGACCCAGAAAGCTGACCCCAGCAGAGCACACATCATTGACAGATGCTGATGTGTGGATCACAATAAACTGTGGAAAATTCTTCAAGAGATGGTAATACCAGGCCACCTGACCTGCCTCTTGAGAAACCTATATGCAGGTCAGGAAGCAACAGTTAGAACTGAACATGGAACAACAGACTGGTTGCAAATAGGAAAAGGAGTACGTCAAGGCTGTATACTATCACCCTGCTTATTTAACTTATATGCAGAGTACATCATGAGAAATGCTGGGCTGGAGGAAGCACAAGCTGGAATCAAGATTGCCGGGAGAAATATCAATAACCTCAGATATGCAAATGACACCACCCTTATGGCAGAAAGTGAAGAAGAACTAAAGAGCCTCTTGATGAAAGTGAAAGGGGAGAGGGAAAAAGCTGGCTTAAAGCTCAACATTCAGGAAACTAAGATCATGGCATCCAGTCCCATCACTTCATGGCAAATAGATGGGGAAACAGGGTCAGACTTTATTTTTCTGGGCTCCAAAATCACTGCAGATAGTGACTGCAGCCATGAAATTAAAAGATGCTTACTCCTTGGAAGGAAAGTTATGACCAACCTAGACAGCATATTAAAAAGCAGAGACATTACTTTGCCAACAAAGGTCCATCTAGTCAAAGCTATGGTTTTTCCAGTGGTCATGTATGGATGTGAGAGTTGGACTATAAAGAAAGCTGAGTACTGAAGAATTGGTGCTTTTGAACTGTGGCATTGGAGAAGACTCTTGAGAGTCCCTTGGACTGCAAGGGGATCCAACCAGTCCAGCCTAAAGGAGATCAGTCCTGGGTGTTCATTGGAAGGACTGATGTTGAAGCTGAAACTCCAATACTTTGGCTACGTCATTCAAAGAACTGACTCATTGGAAAAGACCCTGATGCTGGGAAAGATTGAGGGCAGGAGGAGAAGGGGACAACAGAGGATGAGATGGTTGGATGGCATTATCGACTCGAAGGAGATGGGTTTGGGTGGACTCTGGGAATTGGTGATAGACAGGGAGGACTGGCGTGCTGCGATTCATGGGGTCGCAAAGAGTCGGACACAACTGAGCGGCTGAATTGAACTGAGCACACACAAGGGCTATGCAAAGGCCCCAACACCGACACTGGGCCTCCCAAGCCAACAGCTCAAGAAACAGCTTGCAGGGAGCAGCAAGGCTGAGCTGAGAGATAGGACTCCGCCACATGGGTGGTGGGTAGTGCTGAGTGGTGCAGATGACCCTGGGACGAGGTCTGCACCCCAAACAAGGTGCCGATGCAACTGGGTGGCCCCCTCTCCAGCAGCTGCTGGGTCCTGCCAGACGCCCCACGGTGCTGCCTGCATGACAGCCGCAGGGAAGCAGAGGGACAAGGACAGCCCATGTGCTGTTTGGTCACCTGAGTCCTTCAGTTTACGGGAGGCGGACACCCTGCTGCGTCATTCAGTCATTCAATCGTGTCTGACTCTTTGCGACCCCGTGGACTGCAGCACACCAGGCTTCCCTGTCCTTCACCATCTCCCAGAGTTTGCTCAAATTCAAATATTTAAGTTTCACCTTTTTAAAGGATGTGTATTTTGTTACAATGTGCTGTATCATAATGAATTTATCTAACCTCAGGTTATTGCTAGTTTCCAATATTTTACTATAAAACAAACCTGAAGTGAACCTCTGTTTAGCTAATTTCCTGTAAATTCATGATTATTTCCTTAGGATATAATCCTAAGTGAATTTCACTTCCCAGACGTGAAACTATAGAGACTAGTTATATGCAAAAGAAGATTTTTTTTTTAATTGAATGCCTGCCGTGACTTTTAATACAATAATACTAGAGAAACAAGCAAGTAGATGAATTGAGAACTAAGAAATACTATTTGGTTGCTTTAAAGAGCTGCAGAACCAACCTTTCACAACGTGTAGCCATACTTTATTATGTACTGCTTATAACCATGGCTTCCCTGATAGCTCAGCTGGTAAAAAATCCACGTGCAATGCAGGAGAACATGGTTTGATTCCTGGCTTGGGAAGATCCCCTGGAGAAGGGATAGGCTACCCATTCCAGTATTCTTGCCTGGAGAGTTCCATAGAGAGGAGCCTGGTGTCCAGTCTGTGGAGTCCCAGAGTCAGAGAGGACTGAGTGACTTTCACTTTCATTTTCACTCATAACCATAGTAATAATCTAGACAGTTATGCAATAGACACAGGAATGTTCTACAACGGCCACAGCAGAAGCTTGAAGGACAACATTCACCTGTTTATGGAAACTTCTTAAGTATCTATAATACAGATCCTGTACTATGTTTCTCATAGAATTGGAAAACAGATATTCAGAAATCTCTTTAGAAACTGTTAAAGTATTACAAAGAATGTCAGAAAATGGAAATTATTTGGGTTAGGTGGGAGGGCATGCCTCGTGGCTTACGAGATCTTAGTTCCCCGACTAGGGATGAAATGCCCGCCCTTGGTAGTGCAGAGTCCTAACCACTGTACCACCAGGGAATTCTCTCCCAGAAATTATTTTTAAAGAGCCAGAGATTTCATAAGACAGGCAAATCTACTGCCGTGCTTGTAAGGTTTACCTGTCTCGGTGAGATTCGCAAACTCAGAGAAGCCCTAGGTAACTGAGGAACCGCTCTCGGGGCTGTGAAGGGGTCAGCCGGTGGTGGATTCTCGTGTCCAGCTGAAAGTGCACTGAGCAATGCAATCCACGGGGGGACCTGTGCGTTCCCCGCTTCTCCCGACGGACGTGTCCTGACATCGAGGGTCTGGGGACAAGCAGCTCGAGGCCTGCGACGATAACCATGAGGAGAACCAGAGCTGGTGAGGGAGCGTGTTCCCACCAAGCCGGGGCCGTGGTGACGGCAGAGGACGGCACGCCGGCACGGCGAGCAGAGTGCCCTCCGTCCTCTCACAGGCAGGAGCGGAGCTGGGCTGGAGGGCTGTCCTTCTACAAGGACAGGGGTCCCCTCAAGGGGTGTGGGGCCCCCCCATCGCAGAAGCACGGGGAAGGCAGCGGGAGGGCCGCTGAAGCCGCTCCCTCGCCCCTGGGGGCTGGAGCTCCCCTCCCCGGGCGGGCGAGTGGGCCGTGGGCCGGGCACACTGGGAGCAGGCAGCACGGAGGGAGAAGCGGCAAGGATGCCTCCGCCGGGAGGAGTCACACCCAAGACCCGGGCTGCTACCTGAAAGCACTGTGCACATAAGACAAGGCCACCCAAGAAATCCACATCGTCCCTAAGACGCACAGCTTGAATTCAATATAAACGGTTCACGAAACAGACCAGGGGAAGGTCTGGGGCCCAGAGTACAACTCCCAAGCCCGCAGTTTCCCATCTGGTCATGGAGGGAATGTGGAAATACAAGGAAAAGTTCCCTGACCCTCTTGTGGGTTGTCGGTGTGTGTTTTCTTTTGGTTTCCTTCAAAGTCTGTTGTAATTGTGAAAAACACTTCTGTGTTGGTATAACTGATGTATATGCTATATCCCAACTCCTGTACACAAAGTCTTCCAAGAGAGCATCTTTTAAGATTCAGCACTCAAGAAAATATTTTCTTCACTGAAAAATGAGTCTGCAGTGCCCACTCAACAAGAGAATGGAGTGAGGGCTGTGTCTTCTGCTTTTGTCAAGTTGGCTTCCAGGATGCCAAAGCTGAAGCACCAATACTTTGATCACCTGATGACTCATTAGAAAAGACCCTGATGCTGGGAAAGACTGAGGGCAGGAGGAGAAAGGGGGAAACAGAGGATGAGATGGTTGGATGGCATCACCAACTCAATGGGCAAACTCCAGGAGACAGTGAAGGACAGGGGAGCCTGGCGTGCTGTAGTCCATGGGGTTGCAAGGAGTTGAACACAACTTAGCAACTGAACAACATCCCAGAAACTCAGACTCAAAGGACCGTGTTAACCCTGTGGTTACCATACTTGTTGGCTCTGACTGTCTATTTCATTTCATTTCTTCAACCTCATCCTTTCGTTGGTGACTCAAAAAACTTTTTGGAAAGAGGTGGCAAAACAGATATATAAGGAAGTAAAAGAATCATGTCAATGTATGACAAAACCCACTGAAATGTTGTGAAGTAATTAGCCTCCAACTAATAAAAATAAATGAAAAAATAAATAAATAAATAAATAAATAAATAAATAAATAAATAAATAAATAAAAAGAAAGTAAAAGAAGACTAGAAACAGTAATATCTAAGTTTTATGGGAAACTGGAGAGTAGCTTGATTACACCCAGTGCAGGATGGCTCAACCTGGGCCCCAGTCTCACTTCTTCACGATCAAAACAGTGGACATGTATTGGGCATTTACTATGCACACTGTTTTAATTGCCTCACGCACATCAATTCATTTAATCCTCCTGACAACACCACCACATTAATACTGTATCCTTCATGTAGTGATGAGAGACGGAAATATAATGAGGGCAAATAAGCTGCCAGTGCCACTCAGCCACCCAGGGTTCTGACTCCAGAACCCTCATTCCTAACTGCTACCTACAGCCAATATAAAAAGCTATTGGTCGGCATTGTACAAAACTGGTAGGGCAAATTTCTGTTTTGCTCAAAGCCTAATTTTATGTTTCCTGGCTTAAAATGTATACTCTGTGGGCCCCGGGAGACCATTTCAGTACTTTTTTCATTCATGCAGAGCATGGCCCATGTTTTAAAAAGATAATGGCACTTAGATTTACAAGTACCACTGGCTTCCCTGGTGATTCAGACAGTAAAGAATCTGCCTGCAATGAGGGGCACCGGGATTCGATCCCTGGGTTGGGAAGATCCCCCTGAGAAGGGAATGGCAACCAACTCCAGTATTCTAACCTGGAGAATTCCATGGACAAGAGGAGCCTGGTGAGCTACGGTCCATGGGGTGGCAAAGAGTTGGACACAACTATGCGACTAACACATACATATATACATAGATTTACAAAGGTTTATTTAGATTTCGTCCCTGGCAGCTCAGAGGTTAAAGTGTCTACCTGCAATGTGGGAGACCTGGGTTCGATCCCTGGGTCAGGAAGATCCCCTGGAGAAGGAAATGGCAACCCACTCCAGTACTCTTGCCTGGTAAATCCCATGGACGGAGGAGCCTGGTAGGCTACAGTCCATGGGGTCGCAAAGAGTCGGACACAACTGAGCGACTTCACTTTCTTTCTTTCTTATTTACATAGATTTACTTTTTAACCAATGTTGATATGATTTTATGCATGTGCATAAGATTTTACGCAGGGCTGGTTGCAAACATTTATTCCTTTCTAGCAAAAATTACTTTTATTGTTTTTTTTTTTTTTCCCCTGGGTATACACACAAAAAGGGATACCAGAGAACGGTGTCAGTGGGTGAAGGACAAGGTGGGAGCATTGAAGAGAAAACTGGAAGAGAAACTAAAACCTTTACATCCCATTGGGTGGTCGGGACAGACATCCACTTCAAAAGGGAATTTCTTGGTTGACAAAACTGAAAATGAAGCAGGAACGATGGTTTCAGGCCCTCCCTGACTGTGGACACCAGTGACGTCCTAGGACCAAGTGCATCCATCCACCGTGGCCCGGCCGTCCTGGGCTCTGACTTCCCTTCCAGACAGGCTACCCCCGCCCCCACACCCTCAGCCCAGGCTGCGTGGTGTTGGACCTACATCCTTTCAGATTTACCTCCCAAAGCTTTCCTCTCCTCAAGCCGTTCTCAGCTGAGAAGAAATGCCATCCTCTTCCCAGAGATGTCCGCCTGGGAGACGGGTGGAGGCCTGACTTCCTTATCAACTAGGAGCCTGCTCTGAGCAGAGGGCGGGCCCCACAGCCTAACCGAGAAAGCAGCGAGGCCGGCTCTGAGGAAGTCAGTGCAGTTATCCCAGAGAACAGGAGACACGGACCACAGAGACTGGATTCGGCCTGGCAAGTCGAACTCCTCAGAGACTCAGCAAGAAAGCCAGATGTTTAGGAAGCAGGGCCCTGGAAAAGCCCCTGGGGATGATTCCAGAGGGGTGTGTATGCTGAAGAGCAGCTGCCCCTCCAGTGGGAATGTGGGCGGAAGTGGGCGGTGCTGACAGCAGGAGACCCTCCAGGGACCCGGGCCTGCAGCCTGACCGGTTCTTCATCGCAGGTGCGGCCCCTACAGAAAGGAAGGGCTGGCCTCAGCCGTGGATGCCCACTGTCTTTGCTTAGGAGATTAGCACTGACGCCAAACTGTAGTTTGTAGTTAAATCCTGGGCGCTGTGAAGGGGAAGGCTCTCCCAGCTGCAGATGCAGGATTTAGGGGGCTCTGCACCCCCAGCCCTTCCCAGCAACACCAAGGTTCATATGATTATTAGCTCCCAGAAAAAAAAAAAGAGTGTCTGCCATGAATAAACAGGACGCTATCAGGCTCAGTCTTCATGACACACATGCCCAGAAGACCACAACACCTACTGTTAAAAGCTGGTGATCTGCTGGGAATATGGTTACAAGATAAAAGTAACTTGTATGTAAAGCTGTGGTTGATCAGAACGATTTTTAACTGCAGAGAACGCTTTGCCCGCTAACTTCCTGCTGGGTGGCCTGTAATTCTCTTATAACAAACATGCTGCCAGTGCTTTAAATATGACTCCCATCTGGACAAAATGATGAATCACTGTTACTTTTATTGTATCTAGTGAATGACCATGGTGTATCGGTTCCAAGGGCCAATAAATAATACATTTAATTAATTTCCCTTTAAAATCTATGATCAAAATGTGTATCACTCAACTCCTTAAGGAACTGAGAAATCATGAAGTTTTTCCTCAAATATAAAAGAATGCCAGCATTTCTTCAACTTCATCATGTAGGGACAGGATGGAAGACACTCTGTTAAACACACAGATAGCAAGTCCTCTCACATTCTTTACAACATTAGAATTTAGTTTCAGAAATGGTTGGATTCTGGGTGTCTGGAATCCAATGTGACTCAAGTTTTGCAGTGTTTTTTCACTTTTAGTGTATAATGTGAAATTTTCACCAATTTCAAAAATGAAATAGGCAAAAATGAGAGAAGCATTAGACTGCCATAGGGGGACACATTCTGTCACTGGGGAGAAATGATGCAAAAGCATCTGAATTCTCTAAAAATAAGATACATTGCTATTAAGTCATCTACAACACAAGAAACCTAAGGCACTAACACACTGGTGAATAAAATACATGTTTATTTCTGTCTCTAGCAGCATCACTTTGTATAAAGTTGCATAGAATACGTATTTCAGAAAACATCTTTGTGCTGCTAGTTACTTCATCACTGTGGGTTATTTACACAGAATTCACTTTGCTCTTTAACTTGAAATGTAATATGCAGATACAACATGATTTGTCGCTAGGGCAAGTCATCCTGGGCTTATTTCTTAACCAAGAGCAGAGGAGACTGGGGGTGGAAAGCACAAGAGGAGAGGAGAAGCTTGTGCACAGAGCAGGCCCCACTGATGGAGCACTGACCCGAGTGAGCCGGGCGGGCACGTGGTGGTGGGGATGAGCCTCGGGCTCCAGGACAACACTGTTGCTTCTCATGGTCTTCATCCACTGGGACCTGAACTCTCCCAGCCCAGATGTGCTGGGGCAGAAAGTGTCCCCCACAGCCCGCTGGTCCTGCTGCCAGATGTGGGGCATAAAATGTTCTAATTTGTTCCCTTCCAAGCAATGAGAAAGTCACACCATCTAAAAGGAAATGGTACACACACTCTACAATTACTATCAGAGCCAAATCTGTGAGTCACCCAGCCGCCTGCACAAGACAATTTGGCTACTGGAAAATCCTGATTAATGACATTTTTTTAAACACCAGAGTAACAACTTGACCTGCCAAAAATTACCATTTTTTCATCATTTCACCATTTTTTGCCTTGGTTACCTATTATCTTTTGCGGAGAATATAAAGGAAGTTAAAATGAAAACGATGTTGCACATTAACTCAAACCCAAAGGCTCCTTCCAAGGTGTGGGGGAGGGGAGAGGGCTCTGTAGTGTCGGATTCGAGGAAGAGAAAGGGTCCTTTTGGACGAGGCTGGGGTCCCTGAGGCCACACTGAGACGCTGGGGAATTTTCTAATAACTAATAAAAATCGATTTACATCTTCACATAAGAGTCCTCCTTAAGTCATAATCACCAGGCCCGCGAGTTCCAATCAGACACAGTGGCCAACAGGACGCGCGAGTTGGTGGTCATGGGCACAGGCCCAAGACCCCCGAGGCTGAGGCCCCTCGGGAGAGCCCTAGTCAGAAATCCTCTTCGGATGCCAGAAACAGCAGGTGCGCTTTACATTTCCGGCTCCAAAACCACCCACAGCCCATGCTGGCAGAATTAATCACAGGAAGGACTCGCTGCCGATCGCTTTATTTTTGATCGATACGAGCCAGCCAGCCGCACGGACAAGTCCTGAGTTCCGAATCCCGAGCCCGGCCGAGTCGCCATCCACCGGGGAAACGACACGCAGGAGACCTGACCACGTTCTCGAGAAGCGCGAGCGCTGGAGAAGCGACTCCTGAGTTTCCGACGCGGGTCGCCCCCCGAGCTCATTCTCACCGCCCTCCCCCGGCACACCTGCGGGGCCGGGGGCTCTGCGCCCCGCCGCCCCCTCGCCGCCCCTGACTCTCCGCCCAGCCCCCGCCGCGTGCCGTCCACTCTGCTCCGCGTCTCTCGGTGCCGCACGCTGGAGAAGGGGGCCGGGCGCCTGGCACCCAGCTGGCCCTCCAGGTGGCCCCCGTGCCCGCCGCCCCCACCCCTCGCCGCCCAGGCTGTGATAATGACATCTTCCTTATTTCTCCTGCTACCGTTAGCGAGCGAGCCCAGAACGGCAACAGCCGCTGCCGGGGGAGGCTTGGTTACAGAATCCAGCGCCGGGGAGCGCCTCGCTTAGCAACCGCCCCGAAAAAGCCCCCGCGCTCCGCTCCCACTTGGAGAGCCGGCGGCCACCCTCCCGGCACGCTCCACCAGCCCCCCGGGAGCCTCGGGGGCCGCGCCCCGGCTCGAGCAAACCCTCCGGCCTCCCTGCTGAGCGCCCCCCGCGCCCCCCGCGCGCAGCCCAGGCTCCCGGCACCTTCCTCGCCTTCCCAGGGGCGGTCGGCGTCCCCCGCCTGCGCCGGGCGGGGGAGGGGGCGCCGTTTGCTGCCTGCCGCCCCCATCCCCTCGCGGTGCCCAGCCGGAGCCCGGCGTGCAGCTCCCTCCCGGGTCTCCGCGGGTCCCCCAGGTTGCCTGGCCGAGCTGAGAATGTCACCCCTCAGCGAAACCCCGCTCTGCGCCCGTTCCCACACACCCGGCAGCCCAGGGTGAGGGGACCCAGCGCACAGGCTGCCTCGGGCTCCTCGTCCCCCACCCGACCGCCCTCTCGGGGTCCCAGCTGTCCGTCCCGCCGGGCCGCCCTCGCCCCCCCCCCAACCCCCGACGGCTCTAGCGCCCCGAGCCCCGTCCCAGCGCGGTTCCGGCCCCGGCGGTTCGCACCTTCCTCAGCGCAGACATCCTCGGGCACTCCAGCTCAGCAGATGCGGGGCGACATGGCCCGTCCGCCCGTCAGTCCGCCAGTCCCCAGGTCCCCGCCGCTACCGCCGCTCCGACCCGCTGGAGCCCGGCGCACGGTCGCTCCTCAAGGCCGGCGCCTGCGCACTGGGCGCCCGGGGAGGCACTGGCGCACGGGGGGGCGGCCGGCGCGCGGCAGCATCTGGAGAGGGGCCGGGCCCGCGCCTGGGGGAGCGCCAGGCTTCCGCGCCGCGACCCCTGCCCGCGCCTGCCGCCCTGCCGCCCGGCGCGCCTGGCGCGCACGGCCCGGGGAGCGCGCGCACCGCCTGGCCCGCCAACTGTTGCGCGGGGAGCGATGGGTCACGCGGGGACGGCAGGGGACCTGAGGCTCCAGAGCGGTCTCCGGGGGCAACGGCCTCCCGGCTGCGCGCGGAGCAAGTGCTCCGGGCGCTGGAAATTCAGGGAGCGGGTCCGACGCGCACCCCGATTCCCGGCACAGCGCGGCCGGCTCGGGAGAAGGAAGAATGGCACGCGGGCGCATGGTGCTAGGGATTCGTGGACGGGGTGAAGTCTCCACACCCAGGATGCTCGTGCGGCGCAGAGGACGCGGAGACGTGTGTATCCTACTTGCTGGCCCGAGTGTCTCTGGGCTGCTCCTCCTGCTATCGCGGGCCACCTAAACCGGCCCCCACCTTTCCACTCGCTTCCTCTTCCCCGGAGAGGAACCTGCCGCCTGCCTTCGCAGGGAGGAAGGGCCCCCATGGCGTCCCCAGGCCCAGGAGCAGTCTCTCTGTCGGTAAACCTGGAGCGAGGGGGTCTGGCCGCCTTCGCGCGTCCGCTCCCAGCTACGCACAGACCGCACCAGCCCAGGGATGAGGAAGGAGAATGGTTCAGTGGAAACCGGGCTCTCACAACCTGCAGCGAACTGGAAAATTTAGTGATGTCCATATTTGGATAGCCAGGGGGAAGGAAAGTTACCACGGCCTAGCGCAAAGCCGCCGCACGGGTAACCGGAGACCACCTGGCTTCCTTCCCGCTTACGCCAGCGTGTTACCTGACCTTGGGCAAGTCCCGGAGCCCCGGTTTTCATAAGCCTGCAAAAACGAAGTTTATCACATCTCTAACTGGGCTGTTGTGAAGTTTAAATGAGATTTAAAAAAAACCAAACACGTGAAAGCTGATAGAATAAGAGAAAACACCGAGAAGAGTTTATAGGAAAATGGACAGGCATTAGAATAGGAATCAGGAGTCCCTTCCCCCTGGAGAAGGGAATGGCAACCCACTCCATTATTCTTGCCTGGAGAATTCCATGGATAGAGGAACCTGGATAACTCCAGTCCATGGGGTTGCAAAGAGTCAGACACGACTGAGTGACAAACACAAACAGAATAGGAATAGAGAATCAGGGGACCAAAATTGTTTGGGATGAGACTAACCAATCTTTTCTGAAATTTTCAAGGTCTTTAAATAAGAGCACTGTCTCCATAATATTTCTTCATATAATTGATCACTTCCCTTAATCAACTGCAGCTTATCTTCACAGCAGAGTTCCAAATGCTGAGGGAGTGGATACAAGATGAACTAAGAAAACCTGCCCACAGTCACATTTCTCCTTAGTTTTTATCTTCCAACTTCTCTCCTCTGTCAAAACCAATGAATTGTGTGTTTCAAACCTCAACCACAAATCTAAATTCTAGATCATTTTTACTTTTAAATATACTTTCCCCTTAGTTCCCTCCTCTCCATATTTGTCATCCTTTCATCTTTTTTAAATGAATTAATTTTATATTAGAGTATAGTTGATTCACAATGTTATGTTTCAAGTGTACAGCAAAGTGATTTAGTTATACATATACATGTATTTATTCTTTTTCATATAGGTTATCACAGAATATTGAATTCCCTCTCTATACAGTAGGTCCTTCATCCTTTCATCTTTAAAAAATTCGTTTATTCATTCATGCAAGAGCAAAAACAAAAATAAGAAAAGTGTGCTGAGTGCCCAACATGTCCATCCATATGTGAGCACAACAGAGAAGCCTTCTCTGGCCCCTGGAGCTTCCAATCACTTTTTTAAAATAACACAGTAACATACAATCACAAATTATAATTACTTTTCTAAAGGAAAGTAGAGGGTGCTATTCAATGTTTAAATGGCAACTACACAGCTCTGAGATGAGAGAAGAACCTTTTGAGGAAATCTTCATTAAGACTATATCTTCCTCTGAGTTCTCCCACAAGCAGGTCCTGGGATGTGGCTTTGGGTGCAGGTAGTTCATTTGGGAGGGTGATGCAGGAAATGAGAAAGGAAGCAGGAAGAGTGAAACAAAGAGCAAAGTAATGTTAATGGGATGTGCTATCTAGCTGGCCACCCCTGTGGAGAGTGGGATCTCAATCTGGCTGGGGATCCCCAAAGGCACCACATGGAATGCCCCTCAGAACTGCCTGCCTTCACTTGAGGCTGGGCATTTTTCCATCTGATTTCCATCTGCCAATAATTGTCTGTTGCTCCCCCCACGCCAGGTTCCTTGACTGAGTAAGTCTCACAGCTTCAGAGAAAGACCTGTAGGATTTAAAGTGCCCACAGGTGAGTTCAGGGGTCTCTGCAGAAGAACCAGCATGCAGTCAGAAAGCTACTTCTACCAGAGCTCTGGAGAAGGAATGGGATTCAGGTAAGAAGAGAGCGGGGCAGGGAAATGCTTTCAGACAGGAGGAAGAGCAGTCAGAGGGAGCAAGAGAGAAAATATGAGTGCATCTGGAGAAAAAGTCAGGGGTGTTCAAAGGACACTTTAAGGACTCTGAGTTGTATCTTATATACAGTGAAATTTGATGTAGGATTTTTAGCAGGGAAATAAGATGTTCTGCATAGAGAATCATGTCATCTGTGGACAAAGACAGTTGTATTTCTCCCTTATCAATTTATATACCTTTTCTTTCCTTTTCATGTCTTATTGCATTACCTAGGACCTCCAGTACAATGTTGAAAAGGGGTGAGAAGGGTATCCTTGCCTTGTCCCTGATGGTGGCAGGGTGGCATCTAGTTTTTCACCATTAAGAATGATGTTGTTGTTGTTTTTCAGTTGCTGAGTCATCTCTGACTCTTTGTGAATCCATGGACTGCAGCATGCCAGGCTGCTCTGTCATCCACTGTCTCCCAGAGTTTCCTGAGATTCATGCCCTTTGAGTTGGTGATGCTAACCTTCTCATCCTCTGCTGCCCTCTTCTCCTTTTGCTGTCAGTCTTTCCCAGCATTAGTGTCTTTTCCAATGATTGGGCTCTTCACATCAGGTGACCAAAGTCTTAGAGCTTTAACTCCAACATCAGTCCTTCTAATGAATATTCAGGGTTGATTTTCTTTAGGATTGTCTGGTCTGATTTCCTTGCAGTCCAGTGGATTCTCAAGAGTCTTCTCTAGCACCATACCAGTATGATGTTAGCTATAGGTTTTCTGCAGTTGTTCTTTATCAGGTTGAAGAAGTTCCCCTCTCTTCCTAGTTTGGTGACAGTTTTATCATGAATTTTGGATTTTTACTGGATTTTGTCAAATGCTTTTTCTGCATCTATTAATATGATCATGTGATTTTTCTTTAGTTTGTCAATGTGATGGATTACATCCACTGACTTTTGAAGGGCAATGAGATTTTTTAAAGGGTATTTTGACTGCTGTGTGGAGAAGAGATGGAGGTGGGGTGGGAGTGAGGAAACAAAAGTGGGATTGTGGAGATCAATTTAAAAATGCCTGGATAAACTGTAGTGAGAGATGAAGACATGAACCAAGCAATATAAGTAAGAAATGATGTAGGAAGGACACACTTGCTGTGATTTCTTCAGTGGGTCATGGGGGAGAGACAAAGAGGAGAGGATGCCAGTAAATCCCAGGTCTCTGCAGCTGGGTGGGTGGTGCTTCTGGGAGACCACCAAATGGTACGTGGACACTGCCAAGTGTGGGCTAGCTCCAGAATGTGAGGTCCTATGACTTCAGCAAGAGCAGCTACAGTGGTGGGGGATGGAGACACAGCTGGGCAGCAGAGTCAACTGAAGGTGACAGAAGTAGAGACTGACTTTGTGGTCAACTCTTTCGAGAAGTTTGGGTGTAAAAGAGATGAAAGGAACAGGGCTGGAGGTTTCTGGGAAGATCGTGTTGTATGGTTAGAAAGACCAGAGCTGCTTGACACTGCTGGGAAGCTGAGGTAGAGAATGAGGTCACGATGTTATCTAATCAAGGATAGCATTCTGGACATTCCCTCTCTCATACACCATCTATTGTTAAATAGACTTAATTTTTTTAGAGTAGTTTTAGGTTCACAGGAAGATTGAGGGAAAGGTACAGAGATTTCCTATATGCCCTCTTCTGCTACATATGCACATCCTCCCCTGCTATCAACATTCCCACTACATGGTCCATTTATTACAACTAATGAACCTATGTTGACATATCACTATCACCCAGAGTCCTAGTTTACATTGGGCTTCATTCTTGGGGTTGTATATTCTATGGGTTTAGACAAATGAATAATAATGTTTCCACCATTACATTATCAGACAGAGTAGTTTCACTGCCCTGAAAGTCCTGTGTCTTCCCTCCCAACCCAATCCCTTGCAACCACTGGTCCTTTTACTCTCTCCATAGTTTAGTTTTTTCCAAAACGTCATAGAGTTAGAATCATATACAATCTGTAGCCTTCTCAGATTGGCTTCTTTCACTTAGTGATATGCATTTAAGTTTCCTCCATGTCTTTTCACGTCTTTTGATAGCTCATTTCTTTCTAGCTGAATAACATATCATTGTCTGGATGCACCTCAGTTTATTTATCCATTCACCTACTGAAGGACACCTCCGTTGCTTCCAAGTTTTGGCAATTATAGATAAAGCTGCTATAAATATCTGTGTGCAGGGTTTTCTGTGCACATAAGTTGCCATCTCATCTGGGAAAATACCAGGGAATGGGATTGATGGATCATAAGAGTATGTTTCATTTTGCAAGAAACCACCAAACTGTGTTCCAAAGTGGCTGAACCACCAACAATGATGAGAGTTCCTGCTGCTCCACTCCCTTTATGTTGTCAGTGTCTGGATTTGAGCATTCTTGTGGATGTGTAGTGGTGTCTCATTGTTTTAAATTGCAACCTGTGATGACATATATAATGTGGAGCAATCCTTTGGCCACCTGAGTTGGCGAAGAGCCAACTCATTGGGAAAGACCTTGATGCTGGGAAAGACTGAGGCAAAAGAAGGGGGCAGCAGAGGATGAGATGGCTAGATAGCATCACTGTCTCACTGGACATGAGTTTGAGTAAACTTTGGAAGATAGTGAAGGACAGGGAAGCCTGGCGTGCTGCAGTCCGTGGAGTCGCAAAGAGTCGGACACAACTTAGGGACTGAACAACAGCAACCTTCAATATGCTTACTTACCATCTGTCTGTCTTTGATGAGATGTCTGTGAAGGTCTTTGGCCCATTTTTTTAATTGTGTCATTTGTGTACCATTATTCATTTTCAGTCTCAACTTAATCAGACCTTTCAACACATAAATTTGGTGTGTATGGCGAGTGTATTTTCTAAACAACTCTCTTTCAATTATATGTGTGTATGTGTGTTCTGTCTTTAGGGACCCTCCAGCTGCTGCCCCATCCTGGGTCCAATAGAGAGGTCTGCATCCAGTATCTTGCATTTCTCTCCTGCAGTTAATTCTCTCTACTGAATTCCCAGCAAGCTTCTGCCTCTACCATTGCAACAAAATAACTGTAATCAAGGTCACTGAGAACTTTCACTAGATGAGTACAATTGTCTGTGATGGGTCCTCAATATCATTTCCGACCAGTGATGACATAACTTGGCTTCAGGATAGTTCACTGTCCTCCCCTCCCCCCCTGCCCACTCCCTCCTCATCTCCCCACCTTGCAGGAGTTAGAACCCCTCAGAGCTGTACTTGAACCACTTCTCTGTCTACACTCCCCCTTAAGGCTTTAAATGCACCAGCAGCCGACTAGCCCAGCTGCGTATCCCATCTAGGTCCTTTCTGTTTCGTCAAAAATCACTCAACTGCCTGATCCATGCCCACATGCACACATCCGAGGAGCACCCCAAACTGCATGCCACCCAACAGTGACTGCCCCCACCCCCAGGAGGTTTCTCAACTCCTCGGAACCACTCCAGCCTCCCAGTTTCTAGACAAAAACCTGGAGCCAGGCCACACTTCTCCTGCCACAGCCACTCAGTCAGAAAACCTCTGCTGCCCTGTCTTCACACGTATCCAGATCCAACCACCTCTTCCCACAGCCACCACCCTGGCGTTAGCCACCGATGTCCTTCTCACTGCCATGGACTCGAGCTGCCCCTGCTTTCCCCACAGTGTGCTGTCAGCTCAGTGGCTCAGGCAACTTCTTCAAAGTGGGTGTCAGATAGTTTCACTCCTCTGCTGCAAACCAGCGTATCCTCGCCAAAAGTGGGTGTCAGATAGTTTCACTCCTCTGCTGCAAACCAGCGTGTCCTCGCCCTAATCCTTGCACCTACACGACCTTGCCCAGCACTGCCTGCTTCCTGTCTGACGGCACTGTCACCGTCCCTCCTCCCTGGGCTGCTGTCGCTCTGGGCCTGCTGCTCCAGGCCTGGGCTTCTGCTGAGTGCCCTTTGCCTGGACATCGTGAGTTTTGCTCCCTCCAATTACATTCGAGGAGGACTTCCTGACCCCCTCTCCCCAGTCTGAAACCCCTTCCCTGCTCTTAGGGAGGAACCCCAGCTTCCACAGCAGGGCTCCGCACAGACAGGCTCTCAGGAAATATGTTCTCCAAGAAACGGACTCAAGGAAGAGGAGTAAACTATAAACCAAGGTCCCGGAGTAGGTGAGACGGTTGGACGGGAGCACAAAGCAGAAATCTTAACAGTGGGCAGAAGGGATCAGCGCCACAAGGGTCCGGCGTCAGTGGGCGGCCCCCGGGTTCCCTTCTTCCCGGTTTCCTTTCTGCTTTTAGTCCCAGTTTATTTCGCACCTCAGGGCCCTGGCCCAGTGGGCGCTCAGCGGACCCATCCTACTGCCCGCATCCCTGTGCAGCGCTGGGACCCAGAGTGACTGCGGGCGGTCACCCAGGAGCACAATCCCGCCCCTCGCTGACCTCCTCCCAAAGACCCAGTCCCTGACTCCCCTCCAGCTGACGTACCCACCCCCTTCCAGTGATGCTCTTCTGATGAGCCCCTAACGCCTCATCTCCTCCCGCAGATTCCCCCGCGCTCCCGGTCGGCTTTCCGGGGTTCACGCCCTTCCCTCCGCGCATGCTCAGAGTACTAACGCCGGCGGGCCGTGCCCCGGAGCGCGTAAGAGCCAATCCGCAGCCGGTGCGCGACTGATTGGCGTCCAGCGGCAGAGGCTCCTGATTCTGATTGGACAAGCCTGCTGTGGTGGGCGGGCCTACAAAGGCGGAGGCCGGAAGTGCAGCAGAGTTGCTCCGGCCTGGGCTGGGGTCCCCGGGGTTGTGCGGCTGGCATGGCCGCGCTGCGAAGGCACGGTAGGCGGGAACCGGGGATGTCGGGGGACCGGTGGCTTTGGAGGAAGGGGACCCGGGGCTGTGGGGAGTGGGGAGTCTGAGGCCTCGGGGATGTGGGGACCCGAGGCTGTGGGGACGGGTACTGTGAGACGAGGGAGCTGTGAGGACAGGGTCTGCGGGGACCCAGGACTGTGAAGGATGGGGGCTGTGAGGGACCTGAAGCTTTGAGGGACAATGGCCGTGAGGACTGGGGCTCTGGGGGTTGCTGTGGCGGCCGGGACCCGGGACTGTGGGGATGGGAGCTATGAGGGACACAAAGCTTTGAGGGGCGGGAAGGGGGTCTGTGAGGGACGGGGACTGTGAGGACCGAGGCTCTGAGGATCCGGGGCTTTGGGGACGGGGGCTCTGGGCACCCGGGACTGTGAGGAACTCGGAGTCTGAGGCCTCGGGACTGCGGGGACGCGAACTGTGAGGATATGGGACTATGGGGGCCGGGTGTGAAGACCTGCCCAAACCCCACATTCAGACTCTCAAACCATTTAAGTGCAGGGACCCTGAATTTCTGGGGACATAACTAGTGTTTATTAAGTGATGGCAGTATTTTTAACCAGCACCAAAGGCAGAATGGTACTTCCCTAGTGGCTCAGACTGTAAAGAATCCACCTGCAATGCAGGAGACGGCGGTTTGATATCTATGTCAGGAAGATTCTCTGGAGAAGGGAATGGCAACCCACTCCAGTATTCTTGTCTAGAGAATTCCATGGACAGAGGACCTTGATGGGCTACAGTCCTTGAGGTCCCAAAGAGTCAGGACAGAGCAGCCAACACTCAAAGGCAGAATGGATACATTTAATTGGCTAACCTGGCACATGATTTAGAATGAATGCCAGAGATACAGGGAACTTCAGACACCTCGTGGAAAGCCCAGCGAACTTCTCATTACCCTATAATCATCAACATTAAAATGAAAAAAAAGGGAAGATTATGTTTTCCTCAGTTTTATTCAGATATGATCAATACACAGCACTGTATGGGTTTTAGGTGTACAGCATAGTGACATGACGGGCTATATATTACAAAGCCATCACCCAGTAAGCTAACATCCATCACCTCATATAGTTACAAAATCCCTTGTGATAAGTACTTTTAGGACCTACTTTCTGTCTTAGCAAATATGCCACATTGCAGTGTTAGCAGTAATCACCATGCTGTACAACTACATCCCAGGACTTATTTACTTATGACTGGAAGCTTGTACCTTTTGACCATCTTTACCAATTTGTCCCATCCCTCAATCACCTCTGGACCTCTGGTGACCATCAGTCTGTTCTCTGCATCTGTGAGCTCCTTTTTTTTTTTTTTTTAAAGATTCAACAAATAGTGAGATCTTACAGTATTTGTCTTTCTTTGACTTATTCCACTTAGCATAATGCCATCTCTGTTATTGGCAATGGCACTTTCCTTCTTTAGGGCCGAATAGTATTCCACATCTTATTCATCCATCCATCCATGGACACTTAGGTTGTTATCATATCTTGGCTATTGTGAATAATGCTTCAGTGAACACTGAGGTACATGTGTCTGAATTTTCAAGTTAGTGTTTTCATTTTGTTCAGATAAATACCCATATCCAAAAGTGGAATTGCAGATCGTATCATAGTTTAATTTTTAATTTTGTGAGGATCCTTCAGACTCTTTTCCATAGTGGCTGCACCAATTTTCATTCCCACAAGCAGTGCACAAGGGTTTCCTTTCCTTCACATCCTCACCAACATTTGTTATTTCCTGTCTTCTTTGATGATGGCCATTCTAACAGATGTGAGGTGATATCTCACTGTGTTTTGATTTCAATTTCCCTGATGATTAGTGATCTTGAGCATCTTTTCTGTGTACCTGTTGACCACCTGTATGTCTTCTTTGGAGAAATGTCTGCTCAGTTTCTCTGCCCACTTTTTACTTAGATTATTTGGGGCCTTTTTGCTACTGAATTATATGGTTCTTTATATATTTTAGATATTAGCCCCTTCCAGATTTACAGTGTGCAAATATTTTCTCCTCTTCAGTAGGTTGCCTTTTCATTTGTTGGTGGTTTTGTTTTGCAGAAACTTTTTAGTTTCTTTTGTTTGTTTTTACTGTTGTTGTCTTTGCTTTTGGTGTCAAATTAAAAAAAAAAAATCTTCACTAAGACTCCTGTTGTCAAAGAAGTTTCTCTGTGTTTTCTTCTAGGAGTTGTGTGGTTTCAAGTAAAGGTGAAGGTTTTGGATATGTTTCTCATTTTACTTGGATTAGTTCAGGCCATGATTATGTTCTTTCCTTCTCTCCGTTAAAACAGATGTTGTTTTAAAAAAAAAAACCAAAAAACAGATGTTGTGTTTTTGCCCTTTGAAAGGAAAAGCCCAGTGGCAACTATAGTTAATATTTGCATAAAATAAGGAAACTAATTTCTCTGTAACACAGAATATGGAGAAAAGTAGATAGCATTCCCAGTCTGCTTCCTCTGTAGGAGAACACTGCACCTCAGTAACAGTACTGGAGTAGAAGGAACGGGTTCTCCCCTATCTTCCAATTGGGATGAGGCAGCTTTCTGAGTTGCCTTCAAGTGTCCCCTCAGCCTGCCCTGCCAGATCCCTTGCATCATGTCTGTGGTGACAAAACAAAAGCAGTGTCTTCTCTGCACAAAATGATCACAGCCTTACGTCCGCTTAAAATGTTTTAGAATGGCTAATGGCATAGTAATTGCTGCTAAAAAAAACTGTGAGGAAAAATTTTGGACAGAGTTTGAAATATTTTTATGTGTTAAAGTTTTGTGAGAAACTGAGTGTTTAGTGTACGTCTAGTTCTTAGATGGGGAGGCCACCTCAGATTGGTCATGGTGTGGGATTCCAGTTATGTTCCATTTGAATACTATTTATAGTCTTATTTTGAGAATTAGTTTCCTCTTAATTAATATTTCAGAAAGCTTGGCAACTCTTGCTTAATCTTAGCTAATTGTTTTTCCATTTATAATTCTGTGATGAAACTCATTAAGAAACTATCATTCATTGAATTTGCATATATATTGACCTTCTCTTTCTTGTGAATTGATGCAATACTATTATCAATGTACTCTTTTATTCCTAGGCAGCCTTTTCGTATTACAGGACAAAAAAACCCATATTGAATATCATGGTGGAAAAAGCTATAGAGAGGTTGGCAGGTAAACATACTCTTTACTGAAAATAGGTGTTTCAGATTCCAAGAAATACTTTATAAACTTAAGGAAATTTAAAGTGTCTCTTAAGCTATACAGATATCATCAGGTGGAAAAGGGAATCATCTGAGTCACTGTTTACTGAGGTTGGGGAACTCTTCCTTTTCTTTATGATTTTCTTGGTGTGTGTTTGTTTTGGAAGATTTTCTCTACCAAGCCAGGCTATAGTTGGGAGGCTGTCATCAAACTGGCCACTGGGAAAGTTTCAATGAAATTCCATTACTGATCTTATTTTCAGAAGTAGTTTTTCATTTATATATGATTTTAAAAAGCCTGACAACCCTCATTTTAAGTTCTAGATAATCACTTTTATTTTTTATTTATTTATTTATTTTTAAAATTGTAGTGATTTTTGCCATACATTGACATGAATCAGCCATGGATTTACATGTGTTCCCCATCCCGATCCTCCCTCCCGCCTCCCTCTCCATCCCATCCCTCTGGGTCTTCCCAGTGCACCAGCCCTGAGCACTTGTCTCATGCATCCAACTTGGGCTGGTGATCTGTTTCACCCTTGATAGTATACTTGTTTCAATGCTCTTCTCTCTGAACATCCCACCCTCACCTTCTCCCACAGAGTCTAAAAGTCTGTTCTGTACATCTGTGTCTCTTTTTCTGTTTTGCATATAGGGTTATCGTTACCATCTTTTTAAATTCCATATATATGTGTTAGTATACTGTATTGGTCTTTATCTTTCTGGCTTACTTCACTCTGTATAATGGGCTCCAGTTTCATCCATCTCATTAGAACTGATTCAAATGTATTCCTTTTAATGACTGAGTAATATTCCATAGTGTATATGTACCACAGCTTCCTCATCCATTCGTCTGCTGATGGGCATCTAGGTTGCTTCCATGTCCTGGCTATTATAAACAGTGCTGCAATGAACATTGGGGTACACGTGTCTCTTTCAGATCTGGTGTCCTCGGTGTGTGTGCCCAGGAGTGGGATTGCTGGGTCATATGGCAGTTCTATTTACAGTTTTTTAAGAAATCTCCACACTGTTCTCCATAGCGGCTGTACTAGTTTGCATTCCCACCAACAGTGTAAGAGGGTTCCCTTTTCTCCACACCCTCTCCAGCGTTTATTGCTTGTAGACTTTTGGATAGCAGCCATTCTGACTGGTGTGTAATGGTACCTCATTGAGGTTTTGATTTGCATTTCTCTGATAATGAGTGATGTTGAGCATCTTTTCATGTGTTTGTTAGCCATCTGTATGTCTTCTTTGGAGAAATGTCTGTTTAGTTCTTTGGCCCATTTTTTGATTGGGTCATTTATTTTTCTGGAATTGAGCTGCAGGAGTTGCTTGTATATTTTTGAGATTAATCCTTTGTCTGTTGCTTCATTTGCTATTATTTTCTCCCATTCCGAAGACTGTCTTTTCACCTTGCTTATAGTTTCCTTTGTTGTGCAAAAGCTTTTAAGTTTCATTAGGTCCCATTTGTTTATTTTTGCTTTTATTTCCAGTATTCTGGGAGGTGGGTCATAGAGGATCCTGCTGTGATTTATGGTGGAGAGTGTTTTGCCTATGTTCTCCTCTAGGAGTTTTATAATTTCTGGTCTTACATTTAGATCTTTAATCTATTTTGAGTTTATTTTTGTGTATGGTGTTAGAAAGTGTTCTAGTTTTAGACAATCACTTTTAAAAGCTATGTCATAAACCTGTTTGTTCTGGTAGCTTTCTTTCATAATGAAATATCTAGAGGTCACATTTTTAAAGTTATTTGTTAATGCTTAGGGTCTTCTTTATTTTTGTGTAATTTCTATAAATAGGTGGCCCCATCAGTTTTACTGCTTTCCATTTACATTCACACTTGAAAATACAGTTTTTTGGCTAATTTTTTTCCTCATGTCTCCAGATTAGCTCTACACATGCTTTTTTGTCCTCTGAGAATTGTGCTTTTATGAGAGACAGTGGTTCATGGGGATGATATGGCAAGAGAATCACAAATGAATCAATATCATTTCCATTACCAGAAAGCTCTCCAGTATAAATGTAGTAAAAAGAAATGTGTAGTTTTACACCCATGTTAAATAAAGTATGAACATAGATGTGAACATAGATGTTGAGGGAAATGTGTGTTACTTTGCCACCAAAGTGAACGTTTTTAAGGAAAAGGAAAATATTTTTGATGTTAATGGGGTGACTTACTGACCTCAAAGTTCAAGAGGGTTTTTTTTTTTTTAAACGCATAGTTTTCATTTTCCTTTGATTTTTTTCAGAGTGGAACATTATGGAAGAAAAAGTTCTATTTCCATTGTTTTAGTTTTCATGAGAGCCTTTTCTAATAGAAAATATATTCACCCAGATCCCCTGATGAGGAGGCTTTCTCCTCTGGGAGGTGCGTTGGGAACCAAGTCCCTCAGACAGAGGCCTGTTAGACCCTCCTTCCTAAGACCACCGTGAAGGAGGCCTAATAACTTGAAATACTGCCACTAACACCTCTGTTAAATGTGGAACAAACCCCTGCCTTTTTTTACCCCCAACTGTTAGATTCTGAACATGTAGCTGTGTGAAAGAAGAGGTTAGAATTGAATAGTTTACCATCAGCAATCAAGCCACCTATTTCCTTTTGAGGTACATGTATTCACAGTTCTTCTTAGGTATCTAATTTCCAAAGAACACTTGACTGAAGATTTATTTTTCTTTGTCTTATGTCTTTAGCCTGAAACAGCAAGTGTGGATGACAGTCCTCTCTGAAAATCATATCAAAATGGCTTGATTCCCCTGTGACACAGAGACTTGATCTCTCTGGTATTCCATCGTATTAACTTCAGATGAGATGGTTTTCTCCACGGTGACCTTTTGCTGTCTCTTGTGTCCCAGCTCCAGGCACCTGTGTGCGTGGTGATTGTACTCATCTCCTGCGGGGATCTATGTCTGTTCTCCTGTTTTTTTATGTTCTACTGATTACTTTTTGACAGACACCAGAGTTTCAAGTTAGAACCTGCTCCTGCTGCTGGGAGTGGGGTAGGGGCACAGCAGGAGGATGAGGTGTGAGGAAGGGAGGAGCAGGCAGGTCCCTGGGTCCCGGTGGTGACACAGAGCTGCCTTCCTGAACCTGAGCATCCAGCTCTTTTTTGTTTTTGAGCACAGTGGAAATTAAGCAGAAAAGAGACTTTTAACCTCTAAATTGATTTTTAGGGCTACATTTGCAGTAGTCAACACACACACACACCCATACACACAGTCACAAGGTGCATTGCAACAAACCAAAGGTGACAGATGCTTTTTAAAAATTATGCTTTACTGCTTGCCAGTACCCTGAAAAAAGTAACCTTTCATTTCTGTTCTGCTTTTGACTTGAATCCCTACATAACTGTGGCCAGAAGTCCCTATCTTTAGTAAACTGGTAGGCAGTTCACATGCACCCAATCTCCTTCATAGCCCTAGAGGCTCCAAGAAGTTAGAGTCCAGTGGCTGTACATTTCTTTTGGTGTTAAATATTAATAGATAGTGTTTTCTATTTAAGTAAGCTATGAGCTTCTTCTGTGACTGCACTGGAGCGACCCCATCCTCCGTTTGAAAAGCAGATGAGCTGATGGGGGAGTGGGGGTGGGGACAGGTCCTCGCTGACAGCTTGTTTTCTTTAGAGGACAATGTTTATGCATTGAGTGGTCTTATTCTCTGTGTTGTGAAAGAACACAGAGTGAGAACTAAGAGGTGAAATTCACTGAGGAATCCTCCAGCAGTATTAGCTGGTAGAAAGTATTACTTTAGTTTTGTTTGTTACACATGACTCTTTTAAAGTTGATTTTGGAAAATTAAAATCATATTTTTTTTAAAAGACTGTGCTTTAAATTGTGGCAACTGAAAGTATTAGACATGTGTTGTTGTTTTGTCGCTAAGTCATGTCTGACTGTTTGCAACCCCATGGACTGTAGCCCACCAGGCTCCTCTGTCTATGGGATTTCCCAGGCAGGGGAAATTGGAGCAGGGTGCCATTTCCTCCTCCAGGGGATCTTCCTAACCAAACGATTGAACCCTTGTCTCCTGCTTTGGCAAGTAGGTTCTTTGCCTCTGAGTCACCTGTGAAGCTCATATGAGACATGTATATTTATCAGCTTCCAGAGCCAGGTGTGAGGCAAGCCTGCAGCCCCCAGATCCCATCCAAGTCAGAGACCCAGAGCCTGGCCCCGGGACCTTAGCCCTGGAGCTCTCAGCCTGGGCTCTGGGTTAAGTCTTGTCCCTGAGGAAGGACCACATATCCTGAACCTCCTGCAGAACTGGAGACCACACACCAGGGTCATGCAGTGACACCAAAAGGCAGTAAGTGGAGACCAGAGGGCCTCGAGACCCACTTTGCAGACAGGCCGCCAGTTAGGCCATAGATACATGGTGTGCAGGTGACACGCTGAATTCAGGGACAGTGCCGCAGCCACACAGCCTGTGTCTCCGCCCATGGCTGGCCTGCTATGTGCCGCGCCCTTGCCACTGTGTCAGGGCACCAGTGGAAGCAAAATTGTCAGGTGACTGGTTCATCTCAGTGTTTCCTGGTGACCATGCCAGTTTCTCCCTGGGATTGCTGTATATTTTGACTCCTTCAGGCTGTGGGGTCACTCTGCAGTGGATGCGCATGCTGCTTGGTGATGACCTATCTTGTTTTCCTGTAGTGTGGTCATGTGTTCACACACACGTGTGTGTGGAGCTCAGCCGTGACCGCAGCGGGATGCCCACATCAGCTGCTGCCAGCCCAGGTGGCTCTCGGGCTCCAAGCATCCCCAAGTTCATTTTAGAGCAGGGTGACTTGTTAGGGTTTTGTCAACTGCTTTTGGTTCCCCCAGAAATTGCACCCAGTTTTCTGGAATAGAAGCTTTTCCCCTCTGCTGTTTAAGGAAATGCACGTGACCATTCAGTTTCTATTGGAAACTTGGAACCTGCCCTTTGGACAGGTCTTGGAGTGCTGGTCTAATGGAACAGGCTGCCTCCCTGTGACCCAAGTGCTGCCCCGGCTGTCTGCGGTGGTCTGGGGAACATGTTTGCAGGCCTGTGCTGCCGAACCTGGCAGAGCTGGGAGGCGGGGCCTCCGCTGGCCCGGGAAATGAGGGCATCACCGCCAGGACTGGCTTCCTCCTGCCAGGGCTCCCGGGGGTGGGCAGGCAGGTAACACCAAGACCCTGTGCTCCCCCCAGGCACCTGGCCGAGCACCACCTGGGCTTGAGTAGCTTTCTCAGGAGGCCTGTTGTGTTTTTAGACCCAAATTGTGTGTTTTCCAACTAGCACCAATTGGAGGGGCTTATTTCTGCAGCAAGGGCCATCTGTGCACAGGATGAAAGGAGGAGCGGTCTGTGCCATTAGGCTTGTGCTCCCTCTGTGGGACAGGAGCCTGCCCTCCATGACCCACAGGCCGTTCAACAGCCCCGTCACACTTCCCCTTTCACTTTCCCTCTCATATCACCGCCTCCTCAGTGGCCCTAATGTCTGTCCCCCACTTTGTCGTCTGAATACCTCGAGCCTGTCTCCAGAGTCCTGCTCTTGGTTTCTGCCCCATGGTGCTTGGTCACTAGAGCAGTTCTCTCTCTCTCTGTTGATTTGTTTCTAAATTTAATGAAGTTAAAACAGATTAGCTGGTGGCTCAGACAGTAAAGAATCTGCCTGCAATACAGGAGACTTGGGTTTGATCCAGATCCCCTGGAAAAGGGAATGGCTACCCACTCCAGTATTCTTGCCTGGAGAATTCCTTGGACTGAAGAGCCTGGTGGGCTATAGTCCGTGGAGTCACAAAGAGTCTACCACGACTGAGCAACTTTCGCTTCCCTTCACTTCAAAACAGATTCACTGGATTAACCTTTCCCCTCATCTTTCTTGGCTGCTCTTTTGAGATTGTTCCTGCTCGTTGTTCACACTTAAATCAGGACAGAAATGTTTATTCACTGTGGCAGCACTTCCCCTCTAGTCAGAGCAGAGAGTGCCCTGAGATAAGCCAAGTGAAGAATCTGCATCCTTGTGGGCACTGTGCCAACTGTGCTGTCCCTGTGAGGGCCCCAGATGGGGCCCCCGGGCTGCCCAGCCTGTCTGCTATGAACTGGCGTGGATCCAGCCTCTCCAGTGCTGCTCTGTGGCCCAGGACCACAAACCAGAGTCTGAAAACAGCTCATAGTCTTGTCTGTGCATAAATTCATCCAGCGACGAGGTGGAGGAAGAACAGAACTGTAAGCCCATGTGCCCCCCCAGTTCCCAGCCTCACCCTCCCCATCTGTGCTCACACCTGTGGGGGTACCTAGGGCAAGGACAGTGCTGGGGGCCTCTGATGGACAGTGCTATGGGGCTTCTGTGATGTGGACACTTCTGGGGTCCCCTGATGCCTATAGGGCTGGGGGTCCTGTGATTGGGTCAGAAGTAGGAGTGCTGTGATGGACAGTGCTGGGGCTGACCCTCATGGGGACAGTGCTGGGGGTCTTGTAGGCACCCCCCCCCATTGTGTGCTGTGGAAGGGCAGTCACTTAGCCCTGAGATGGTGATGTCATGATATGTCTTGTTTTATATAAAATTCATTTGCAATTTAAATAAAATTCAATCAGTAATACTTTTCTTTCTTTTGCAAATTGATTGCCTCTGTAGTGTTTGTTGGAAAAGTACTGAAGAAACTTTATCCTGAGGTTTCCCACGGCCAAGAAAAGAGGGCCCCTGTGACTCCAGCCTCCAGAAACCCACCTGAGAAAGTGCCTCCTGAGAGAGTGAAGGACCAGAGCAACCCTCCTGAGACAGGTGAGCACTGTTTCCCTGGAGAGCGAATGCTGACCTCAGGCCACTGTGGCACCACCACGGGGGCAGCGGGGTCATTCTGCTCAGACTTTTCGGGGATGGTTACTTCACTTGTGAAGGAAGAATTGCCCCCAGCTGGGGACAGGGTCAGGTTCATCACTGGTGTTGGGTTCAACTCCATGCTGTTCCTGGGTGCAGTGACTGGGCCCTGCTGCCCCAGGACCACTGCCCACAGTGTTCCTGCTGCTCTTCTGTCGGAGAGCCAGAGGTATAGGAGGGACGCTCAGCCTCTCAGCCCTGGAGTCACACTCAAGAATAGTGGCTGCTGTTTACTGTGCTTTTCCCTTTCAAAGATGGTCCTGTCCTGGGCTGAACTGTACCCTCTACAATTTATGTGTTGATGTCCTAACCCCAGAACCTCAGGATGTTGACCATGTTTGGAGATGGAGCCTTCAAAGAGGAGATGGAGTGAAATGAGACCTTTAGGGTGGGTGCTAATCTAGGGCAACTGGTGAGATAGGAAGAGATCAGGACCCAGACACCTACAGCAAGACGACCATATGAAGGTGTGGGAGAAGACGGCCATCCACATGCCAAGGCAGGAGGCCTCAGGAACCAGTCTTGTAACACCTCCATCTCGGACAGCCAGCACCCGGGAGAATTGGGAGAGAGTGAGCAAGGCCCTCCTGTGGTGCCACCCAGAAAACTACCCTGACACCTGTTCCACCTGCAAGACACATGCTTGGTTTTGTGTGAATACAACGTAGCTTAGAAAGGCAGGCGCCCTGGGGAGATGTGCTGTGCAACTGGAGTGGGCGTCCCTCTGCATTCCTGGTTATCTGTCCAAATGTAACTGAGCTGATGTTCTTAGTCTTTTTTTTCTTTAATTTGTATTTAGTGTTTATTTGAGTTTTCTTTCCTCTTCTAGCCTGATGTGATTATTCACTAATGAGCTTCCCAGGTGGCTCAGTGGTAAAGAACCCATCTGCCAATGCAGGAGATGCAGGTTCAGTCTCTGGGTTGGGAAGATTCCCTCGAGGAGGACATGGCAACCCACTCCAGTATTCTTGCCTGCAGAAAGCCCTGGACAGAGGAGCCTGGCGGGCTGCAGTCCACAGGGTCACAAAGAGTCGGACACGACTGAGGACACAGACACACACTTTCATTAGTGCAGTAATTTGGGCAGTGTCTTTCCTCAGAAGCTCCAAGTTGGATCACATTGTTTCAGCGGGCAGTTCCGTGTGAAGGCCCATGTGAGCCACGCTGTGATGGCTGGTGCCAGCAGCTGTGTGGTGCCATTGGAGGCTAGGACAGGGTGGACGCTAGGATCCTGGGAGAGGTTGCATGGCCAGCGCGGCACCAAGGCCGGGAGAGATGTGAGGGCGCTGCAGGTGGGATTCAGCCGTGTTCTTAGTGTCTGTCCACCTGTGTGCTTCTCAGACTGCAGACCCTGCGAGTGGTGCTTGCTATCTGAGTCATGGCCTCTGTGTACCCCATGCAGGGTACACTGGTCACCTGCCATAGTCTAAACTTGGGTGAGAAGGGGGCGGGGGAGTGGTGAGAAGGATGCGGTGTGGCTAGGATGGTCTCATCAGGTCCTGGCGGGGCATCTGGTCCCTCCGTTTCTCCACACCCTGAACTTTCCTCCCCTTGCAGAGTGCCCTCTGGCCGCGAGGATCCTTGGATTGGGGGTTGAAGGCAGAGTCTGATGGGTAGGATCCTCCACCCTTCCTTACGGCCTCAGGCAATGAGTAGAGGAGGCACTTCTGGGAGTTTTCATTTTTTTCACAGATGCAAATGAGCCTAACTTAATTTGCCTTCCTGAAAACTCCATGCAGTGTACAGCAGCAGTGTATTTTTTTAAAGATAAAATTCATTTAATCTGAAGTTTACCATAACCATTTCAAAATGTACAATTCAGTGATTTTTAGTATACTCACTATGTTATGTAAGCATACCACTAACTCCAGAACATTCTTATCACCCCAAAAGAAACCCATATCCATTACAGTTATCCCCATTCGTGCATCCCTACATTTTTGTTTCTTTAAATATTTTATAATTGGAGGAAAATTGCTTTACAATGTTGAGTTGATTTTTGCTGTACAACAGTGAGAATCAGCCATAATTATACATACATCCCCCACTCTGGGCTGGAGAATTCCATGGGCTGTATAGTCCATGGGTTCACAAAGAGTCGGACACGACTGAGCGACTTTCACTTTCGCCTCCCTCATGAGCCTTCTTCCCCTCCACCCATCCGAGGCTGGGCTCCCTGTGTTGTATAGTAACTTCTCACCAGCTATCTTTTTTATACATGATAGTGTATATAATGCTAATGCTACATGCTCCGTTTGTCCCACTCTCTCCTTCCCCCAAAAGCCATAGTTCTAAAGGACACATGTACCCCATTGTTCATTGCAGCATGATTTACAATAGCCAGGATATGGAAGCAACTTAGATATCCATCTACAGATGAAGGGATAAAGTTGTGGTACATAAGTATAATGGAATATTACTCAGCCATACAAAAAAATGAATTTTAGTCAGTTCTATTGTGGTGAATAAACACAGCCTGTTATATAGAGTGAAGAAAGTCAGGAAGTGAAAAACAAGTATCATATATTAACACACATATATGGAATTTAGAAAAATGGTATTGATGAACCTATTTGCAGAGCAGGAATGGAGTCACAGATGTATAGAGGAGACCTCCCTACTTTCTGTCTCTTCAGATTTGTGTATTCTGGACATTTTGTGAGTGGAATTGCATAATAGGTGACCTTTTATGTCTGACCTCTGTCCAGTTCAGTCTCTCAGTCGTGTCCGACTCTGTGACCCCATGGACTACAGCACACCAGGCCTCTCTGTTCATCACCAACTCCCAGAGTTTACTCAAACTCATGTCCATTGAGTCAGTGATGCCATCCAACCGTCTCATCCTCTGTCTTTCCCTTCTCTTCCCACCTTCAATCTTTCCCAACATCAGGGTCTTTACAAATGAGTCACTTCACATCAGGTGGTCAAAGTATTGGAGTTTCAGCTTCAACATCAGTCCTTCCAATGAACACTTAGGACTGTTTTACTTCAGGATGAACTGGTTGGATATCCTTGCAGTCCAAGGGACTTTCAAGCGTCTTCTCTAACACCACGGTTCAAAAGCATCAATTCGTTGCCACTCAGCTTTCTTTATACTCCAACTCTCACATTCATTCATGACTACTGGGAAAATCATAGACTTAACTAGATGGACCTTTATTGGCAAAGTAACGTCTCTGCTTTTTAATATGCTGTCTAGGTTGGTAATAACTTTCCTTCCAAGGAGTAAGCGTCTTTTAATTTCATGGCTGCAGTCACCATCTGCAGTGATTTTGGAGCCCCCCAAAATAAAGTCAGCCACTGTTTCCCCATCTATTTGCCATGAAGTGATAGGACGGGATGCCATGATCTTAATTTTCTGAATGTTGAACTTTAAGCCAACTTTTTCCCTCTCCTCTTTCACTTCCATCAAGAAGCTCTTTACTTCTTCTATATAGACTTTCTGCCATAAGGGTGGTATCATCTGCATATCTGACGTTATTGATATTTCTCCTGTCAGTCTTGATTCCAGCCTCTGCCTTATCCAGCCCAGCATTTCTCATGATGTACTCTGCGTAAAAGTTAAATAAGCCAGGTGACAAGCCTTGACATACTCCTTTTCCTATTTGCAACCAGTCTGTTGTTCCATATCCAGTTCTAACTGTTGCTTCCTGACCTGCACACAGGTTTCTCAAGAGGCAGGTCAGGTTGTCTGGTATTCCCATCTCTTTCAGAATTTTCCACAGTTTATTGTGATCCACACAGTCAAAGGCTTTGGCATAGTCAGTAAAGCAGAAATAGATGTTTTTCTGGAACTCTCCTGCTTTTTCGATGATCCAGTGGAAGTTGGCAATTTGATCTCTGGTTCCTTTTCTAAAACCAGCTTGAACATCTGGAAGTTCACGGTTCACGTATTGCTAAAGCCTGGCTTGGAGAATTTTGAGCATTACTTTACTAGTGTGTGAGATGAGTGCAATTGTCTGGTAGTTTGAGCATTCTTTGGCATTGCCTTTCTTTGGGATTGGAATGAAAACTGACCTTTTGCAGTCCTGTGGCCACTGCTGAATTTTCCAAATTTGCTGGCATATTGAGTGCAGCACTTTGACAGCATCATCTTTCAGGATTTGAAATAGCTCAAATGGAATTCCGTCACCTCCGCTAGCCTTGTTCATCGTGATGCTTCCTAAGGCCCACTTGACTTCGCATTCCAGGATGTCTGGCTGTAGGTGAGTGATCACCATGGTGATTATCTGGGTCATAAAGATCTTTCTTGTATAGTTCTTCTGTGTATTCTTGCCACCTCTTCTTAACGTCTTCTGCTTCTGTTAGAGCCATACCATTTCTCTCCTTTATTGAACCCATCTTGGCATGAAATGTTCTCTTGGTGTCTCCAGTTTTCTTGAAGAGATCTCTAGTCTTTCCCATTCTATTGTTTTCGTCTATTTCTTTGCACTGATCATTGAACAAGGCTTTCTTATCTCTCCTTGCTGTTCTTTGAAACTCTGCCTTCAAATGGGTTTATCTTTCCTTTTCTGCTTTGCTTTTTACTCCTCTTCTTTTCACAGCTATTTGTAAGGCCTCCTCGGACAGCCATTTTGCTTTTCTACATTTCTTTTCCTTGGGGATGGTCTTGCTCCCCATCTCCTGTGCAATGTCACAAACCTCCGTCCATAGTTCATCAGGTACTCTATCAGATCTAGTCCCTTAAATCTATTTCTCACTTCCACTGTATAATTGTTAGGGATTTGATTTAGGTCATACCTGAATGGTCTGGTGGTTTTCCCTACTTTCTTAAATTTAAGTCTGAATTTGGCAATAAGGAGTTCATGATCTGACCCACAGTCAGCTTCCAGTCTTGTTTTTGCTGACTGTATAGAGCTTCTCCATTTTTGACTGCAAAGAATATAATCAGTCTGATTTCGGTG